ACGAAACACTAACGTAAGGCTTATCGGCTATAGTGGCGGACCTAACCGGAGCAGTATAGACCTAAAACCCCGTGTAACACGACACCGACCTAAGCCCTAGCAACCTACCACCGATACCGACCTAAGCCCTAGCAACCTACTACCGACACCGACCCGTGGCCCGTGCGACCTAACCCAACCCCTACATAACCCGCGGGTAGGGGGTACCTATTTACCAGCGTACTCCTCACGCAGTATCTTACTTACAGGTAATAATCTGATTATCTCCCTATATAGTGCTATCACAATACCCCTCTCGCATCTAGTGAAAATAGCGTTAAGAAAAGGAGTTTGTTGATTTTAGTATAATACTAGCGAGACTAGGCGTTCTAAGATACTAAAATCGCCAATTCTTCGGGTTTGAAGGAATTTGCGTCACACAGGGGGGATGTTAATGGGCTCTTCATAAAGGAATCAACTTTTGCACCTATGCACAAGACTCCAGTAGATGCTAAGTTCACTCCGCGAGCTACCAGTGATGTCCCACTACAGTATGTTCAATGTCAGTAGCTGTGCATGTAAGAAGTATTGTCTATTGTGTTGTATCTGATGCTAAGAGTAAGTTTAATTGAATTATTATTAGTTAGTTCACAAGCACTTGACGATACAAGGTAATTCTAGGCTTACAAATATGGACTGCAAAACACGGTTGCTTGAACTATAACATTATGAGGATCTATGGTCATATCATGGAGCCTCGACTTTAGCAGCCTCTCGCTTTACTATCACACTGTCCACGATTTTCTCCAGGGTGTCTAACCTTGCGTACTCTTGTATTCCAAATCTCAATCGGAACAACCTTCCTACCCAAGAATACAACTCCATTACTGTTAAGCTGTCAAGTCCGAGTTCCGTGATGGTCTGATCGTCGACGATATCTGAAACAGGAATTAATTGCAACTGAGCTATCTTATCTCTAATGGCAGCTAATAGTAACTGAGTTGCTTCTTCTTTGGTGTCAGCTTGGTCCACTGCATAAACCAATGTATCCGTATTGGCCGCAGTTGTTGTTCTCGGCTTCGATTTTCGGTCTTGGGAGTGATTGGATGTCAGGGTCGAGAATCTGGGATCTTGGGCATATGAGGGCAGCTTGAGCGCAGTCCCAAAGCCTGCCCCGATTATAGAGAAACCCTTGCAGCTTGAAGCTATTGATCCTGTGACCGCAGCGCCAAGGAGAGCCAGTACATCAGCAGTGAGGAGAATCTCGCCCTCAAATTCGCTAACATACTTAAGTTTTTGGAGTTTGGAAGCATTCTCAGCCATGTAGCCAGCGTCTACCACCGCAGTCAAGGCTAGAGAGGTAGCCGGTAGTCCCTGCTGCATGCGGTACATTGCAAAAGAGTCCAGGAAGGTATTGGCAGAGGCATAAGCTGAATGCCCAGGTGTGCCCATAATGCCAGCCACCGAAGATATTAGAATGAAAAAGTCTAGAGTTGCCTCACGCAAAGCATGATGCAAATTCCATGTTCCACAGACCTTTGGCTGGACCACAGAAGTAAAATCGTCGAATGAAACCGAGGTAAAGACTCCGCCCTGCGTATAAAATTAGCACCAAACATTGAAGAGATTAGGCCGAGGGCGGAGGGTTTGAAGAGTTCGAACAGACTAGGAGAAGGGTTACCTTGAAAACCATTGCCGCGTTGATTACACCCTTAATTTGGCCTTTCTCGATGACGCACTGGTCAATGACGCGCTGCAAATGGTGCTGGCTCGTGACATCACACGGTAACAAGAAAACTTCAGCTCCTATCCCAGCAGCATCATCCACTAATGTGCGAACATCAGGGCTCATAGAGGTGCTGCGTGAGAGTAGCCCAATTTTTCTAGCTCCATTGTTTAACATCCATTTTGCGATGACACGACCTAAACCACCGCTACCACCGACAAGCAGGTACACAGCCGCTGGATCAAACGTGGGTGGAGCAGGACAGGACGGGGTAGCCTTTACCATCTCATTCTTTCCAGGAACCAAAAGAAGCTTTTTCGAGTCGGTCTCCGAAATATTGGATAGGGCTTCTGACAAATATTCGAGCCCAACAGTCCGCACTGGAGGACTGTGCACAAACTTGCTGTCAACTAACCCTACCACAGCATCAAGTATGGCAGCCATTTGCGCGGGCAGAGCATCAGCTACAGCATCCAAGTGTGCTATAGAGAAACTGTGGCCTACCGCAAGGGCAGGGTACTGGTGTGATGGCTCCCCCACTTGCACAATGCGTCCTAGAGGTGCCAAGGCCCCCAACATGCTAAGGTTGGCATTGGCATCTGAGACGGGGTTGAACAGAATCTGGATAGGCGGAAGCCCCACTAAAGTGGTTACAACCCGGTCGATGGAAGCGCCCGCAACAATGGCAGCGTCGCGCTCTTCTTGTGAATGAGCAAGGGCGAAGACAAGGGCACCTTTTGCCAACGCAACTTGAATTGCAGCCTGGCCAAGGGCAGATCCCACTGCGACGATGAGGACAGATTCGCCCGCGACGAGTCGGCCGAGGTCAACGAGGGCGTGGTAGGCAGCTCCAAGGGTAGCAGGAAGCGCCGCAGCAGCATCGATGGGGATATTCGCAGGCGTGCGGGCTAGACATGTCTCAGGCGCACGTGCAAAGGTTCGGACTGCGCCATCGATATTTGCTAGACCAAAGACGCGATCACCAGGCTGCACACGTGTAACTGTGGATCCACATCTCACAACGGTTCCGCTCAGAGCACGCCCCTGCAATCCGTGGATGTCATCGGCGTCGAGAGCTATCGCTGCAATGCGTACTTCAACCTCACTCTCATCAAGCGGGTCCGGAACGTCGGTACGTTGTAAATACAACGAATCGGGCATACCTGGACGCTGCAGGGTAAAGAAGCCCCTGACTTCCGGGTCGAAGGGCTCGGTGCGCGGCGCGATGACTCCTGTGACAGCGTGAACAACATTATCCAGCTGTGTATCATGCACAACGCGCGATACCATAAGCTGGCCCTGCTTTTCAGTGAATTCCATCTCAGCCTGTACATCCGCGTTTTGAGCAGCCGCTGCCAAGTGATCGGCTACACGCTTAACAAGTGCCGCCTGTGCTTCAATGTCACTGCTAGCGTTGGCATCCAAGTCAAGTGATGCTACTGATGCTCGCATTTCGCTGCGAATGGTCCGAAGTAGGCCAGTCACCATGCCCGCATTAGGGTGTGTAGAATCGTAAGACACCCCAAAGGCGCCACATGTCACCCAAAGTACCCCCTCGCAGGTTGTGAGCGCCTGTTTGATATGATTGAACGACTCCCGCTCCACACTAGCGAGGAGCCCCTCTCCCACATCCACCACGACACAGAAGCTGGCCTCACTAGGCACACCTTCGCACAAAGGCCGAACAGTGCCCCCGATTTTCTTGCTGACACTACCGGCCAAATTCTTGACGTCTCCTGGTCCCTGTAGGACATGCCACTGGGCGGCCTGGGACCGAAGCTCCGTAGCGTTTTGCCAGGCTATCTTGTAGCACCCGTAATGCGGCGCCGGCCATTGAGGTGCTAGTGTCGCTTCAACAGCCAACTTGAGGCCTCGAATGCGTATCTGACATATGGGGGCATTATCTGTGGTCCCGTCGATACTATATGACCTGTCGTGGCGTTCATTCTTGTCTACCCGAGCGACCGTGCGAAAAACCATTTCTGGTTTTAGCGCCTCTCCAGGGCGAGTTTGGATCGTGAACTCTTTGATAGATCTTGGAACCCATATATTGCTGGAGCCACCAACAACAGAACTTGATTCATCCAGAAAAGGTATACAACTTCCACACTGGAACAGGCCATCAATCGTTGTCGGATGAACTGTCATGTCGCTTTCATAATGCTGAGGCATGCTTGCCTTGGTGTCGGAGACAACGACTTCGGCAGTCGTCTTACCAGCTCCATAACGTAGGTCAACCACATTGCGGAATTTACCAGTGCGCCGTGGGCCGACCTTTGATAATCTCTGGTAGAGCAATGGGCTGCCCACACAGCTGTGGCAAGCCGCACGCGACTCAGCCCATTTCATTTCTTCCACTTGTTCAACTCCATCTGTTGTCGCTTCGCACTTCACAAGAGCTCGGCAGCATCTCTTCCAGGCTCGCTGGCCCTCATCCCAGGATAAGACTTCGAACTCCTCAAAGTTGGTACCAGGCAGCGAGCGAAGTTTGGTGACCAACTCAACGGGTATACCCTCCTTCATAACGAGGCTTTCGTCTATAATCATGTCACGAACGGTAAATCCTTTGAATGCTCTGTCGAGGAAAAGATTTCTTGTCATCGCAAACTGCTTGCTGGCTTCAATAGCAGCGCATACATAACCAGCTAGAGGGTAGGTAATGGATGATGCAACTTGATAGTCTCTAAGCCACGGCACGTTTTCTACGTCGAGGTTGTTTTTCCAGACCAACTCCTTACTGCCCCACGATGAATTGATCGAGCCTAGGAGGTCGTGGTGTGGAAATGGTCTATGCAAATCATCGTCACGGACCCTAGACTTGATCCAGTGGTGGCTTCGTGTCCACGGGTACGGCTTGATGCCATCAACAAGCGTCGGTGGCTGGCCGCTGATATGTCCTGATGCAAAATTGACTTGTTCCATATCTATACGCTGACCAAAACTAACAAGAGAAGCCCCAAGCTTAAGCATTGCGGTTCGTGCATTCTGGCCGCGGTGTAGAGATGGTACCACTTCAATTGGATGTGGTATTTCTTTTTTGATTTCACTCAAAATGCTCTTGAGGGACCCCACTAACGTAGGGTTCGGGCCTATCTCCACAACGACGTTGGGCGAAGGTTTGCTCCTCAACAGGGCTTTTGCGGCGGATGTGAACCGCACTCGAAATTTTGCACTGCTCGCCCAGTACGATGGTTTCTGTACTGTGACAGGTTCAACCTTCCTTCCTGCCATGGCAGAGAAGTATTCTGCTGTGGGTTGCAAGTTGGAAAACGTATCATCTGTGCATATAGCTTCCTCGTAATCGTCGATGAATGGATCCAGGAAAGTTGAATGATAGGGGAAATCCACAGCTAGCCGCCTGTGAGGTAGTCCATCTTCTTCAAGCAGTGATTCTAGTTCGACCAATCCGGCTTCGTCTCCAGAGACGGTAACTGACTTTGGTGAATTTTCGCAGGCAATTACAACTTTACCAGAGGTAACAATGTCCAGTAACGGTAACACGTCAGCAGGCCCTGCAGCAACCGCTAACATGCCACCTTTGAAGTCTGGCTGAACTTTTTTAATCCTGATAGCCATTTGACCACGAGCATAAGCAATGCGCATTGCTCCTGGGAGTGAGAGGAGGCCTGCGGCGTATGCCGCGGCGACTTCACCACTCGAATGACCTACAACTGCTGAAGGCTGAATGCCCCATGAGCGCAAAAGGTCCACAAGAGCAATCTGGATAGCTGTTGAAGCTGGCTGGCTGACATCAGCGTCATTAATCCGTGACGTTGCCTCGTTCCCATAAAGCTCGTCCTGGAGCGAGAAATTGGCACCAAAAGACTCAGCGCAGGCCGAAGCCATCTTCAGAGTCGTAGAGAATACGGGATACTGGAGTAATTCACGACCCACACCAAAGTATTGGGCACCTTGTCCCGTGAATGCAAAGACTAGCGTTGGCTGACGGGTGACCCGCCGGGGAATAACCTGTGGGGAGGCAGCCTGAATGATGAGATCGTCAATGTTTGAGGCTACAACGGTAGCACGCCAACTAAGGAGAGAGCGACGCTGCCCTAGTGTATATGCGGTGTTTTGCATGGTTGTGGAAGACGCGTCAACCGATTCAAGGAATTCAACCAGTTGCTCCCTAGTTCGTCTGAGGGCGACCTCGTCGTTGGCAGATAGAACAAAAAGATAGTCGCTCTCAACATTTCGAGTCTCTTTTTGGCTCACCAACCCCTGTGGAATAGGCGGCGCCCTCACGATACAGTGAGAATTAGATCCGCCGAACCCGTAATTGTTAATGGCTATATATGTCTTGCCCTTCGGCCAAGGCTGTGTAGATATTGGTACCTAGCCAAGGTTAAAACGTCATACCTCTACAATTTTATTAAGTATTTTAGACTTACCCTCATGTTTTTCTCCTTCAAGTGTGAGTTCATCGATTCATTCTCAAAGTTAGCGTTTGGCACAACAAGACCTTTCTTCAGCATCATGGCAGCTTTGATAAGCGAGGGAAAGCCGCTAGAGGACTCCAGATGTCCCACGTTGGCCTTAACAGACCCAATCAAAAGTGGGTCTTCCAGGGTACGTGCTGAAGTCGAAAATACTTCTTGGAGTGCTGATATCTCAATAGGGTCTCCAACTCGGGTGCCGGGCGCATGGGCTTCCACAAAACCAAACTCATCTGGCTTAATATCCAGTCTGACTTGTAACTCTCTCATTAAACTAGCTTGCATCCTTGCATCAGGTAGGGTGTAGCCATTCGTGCGGCCGTTATGATTTACACCAATATCCGATAGTACGCAATGCACCCGATCATTGTCGCGTATCGCAGCATCGAGTGGTTTAACAATGATACTTGCTGCGCCTTCCCCACGGACATAACCAGCGTCAGCCTGGGGATCAAAGGATTTGCTTAGACCGTCCGGATTGAGCATCGTCAGGTTTGACAACATGGTCCACCGCCAAGGCGATATGTTTAATGCGCATCCAGAAACGATACACATTTCCGTCTCACCAGATCTGAGACTTTGTGATGCTAACTGAAGCGCGTAAAAGGCTGAAGAGCATGCTGTGTCAATGCTGACACTAGGACCTTTTAGGTCAAACGTGTTGGAGACAATGTTCGAAAGCATGCAGGCGTGGCCGAGGACGCCTACTAGTGCCGGCATTGAATATATGTCATCCTTGAGCGACAGAGTGTAGTCAGAAGTGTTAGATGTAGAAAACACCCCGACTTTAGAGCCAACGATGCTCTCTTTGGGAACACCTGCGTTTTCTAGGGCTTCGTACACACACTCGAGAATCATACGTCCTTGTGGGTCCTACAGTAGGTTAGTGGACAGGTGCGTTGTCACTCTGTAACTACATTTATAGACGTACGAAAGAAGCTGCATCTGTACCATTCATTTTAAAAAACTGTGCATCGAATTCGGCGATATCACCATCAAGAAAATAACCACAGTTGACATCGATGCAATCCTTGCGGGACTGGTTTGGATGGTAAAATGCTTCCCAGTTGAAACGTTCTCTCGGAAATTGGCGATATCCATGCTTAGAATTGCTCAACATATCCCAAAAGTCTTCTAAAGAGGCAACTTTCCCAGGAAAGCGGCAAGACATGCCAATAATGGCCAAAGGCATTGGCGTGTTAGTGTTCTGACGTGAAGTCATGGTGCGGCACGATGTACGATGGTCGGCGTAACGAGAAGAGGTGGATATTTGAGCGGAGATTGGGTAGAGTTGCTCTGTTTATATAAAATACTGATAGTATGGTGCTTTAGGCTTTTTAGAGCTTATCTAATCAAGTAATAATGCTATTTTACTATTCACACCATCTGAAACCATAGATCAGATTACATTTGTCCTACCCTTATTCAGCCGCGTTTTCTCCGCAGCTATATGCACGGCATGACTGGCGTAGCCAACAGCTGACATCGCACAGACGTTAATCCGCGCTACCCTACGTCACTCCCATTGGAAACTACACAGCGAGCTAACCCTGGGATGAAATAAAACGTAATATCTTGATAATTAACCGTAAGAAATATTCAGTATTGTTAGAAATTCAATCAGAAAGGAAGGATATTACTAGGAATGTTATCACAATATCCTTAACCTATAGGAGGCCGCGGCTAGAAAAACAAGTCTAATGACACTCAAAGTGCGGATAGGCGACAATTTTATGATTCAATAGAATGTGACATAGTAACATTCACATATAGTGATTAATCATTTTTTTTCTATTTTCTCCTTTATCTACATCAGCTCTAAAGAGCTGATTTTGGCGTTAGTAGTAAGACGCGTAGCGCGATAAAAGCAGGGTAGGTATGCACGGTTGACCTCGCCGAGGCCGCCACAAAAAACAGGTTAATAATGCTTAGGAACTACTTAAGTCATGACGCGCCAAGTTATTAATGTGTATTGGAGGTATTGTATAGGTCTTACTGTGACATCTATGGTGTTTCCTACTACGTATCCCACTAGCAACATCCGCACTGTTTCGGCGTCTACCGGTCAAAATTCAAACAGCTGTCAGATACTGGGCAGCAGATACCGGGTGTAGACCTGAGCACCCGGAGTCTGTATACAGACAATCAGACGAGCCGCCAAGGCTAATCCCTACCCCAGCTCGAAGAAGAGGTGGCTGAGGTCAGAATAAGCAAACAGACTCCTTTAAGGAGGCACGCGGTCGCGTCTCTAGGAAGGAAAATCATCAATACAATTATTATCATCATAAATGGCCCTTGACTACCCCTCACAACCTGAAAACAGCTTGCTTAGTAGCCTATCTAATTCCCAAGGTCCTCTCTGTAATAACCCTCTATTACACAACAAACGCCCTTTTCCAGTATTGGTAGACAGTATTGAATAGTATCTATATTCTAGTATTACATATGGGTATTAATAGAGTGGCAAAAGTCTCACGATCTGGTATGGGGTGATCAGAATACCAAAATCTTCACGCCTTACATCGCGACGAATATTATAGCGATTCATAATACAATCTCATACATTCTTCTTTTAGTAGATATGTATAGTAAGGTCTATCCCTACGTGCTAAAAATCTCTGTATACTAAAAACGACCAATCGGATCACAAAAATCACGAAGTTCCCTCTAAACGTCGCGATCCGATTGGTCGTTTGTAGTATATAGAGTTTTTTTTAGCACGTAGGGATAGACCTTTTATAAAATTCTTCTTTCTATGGTCCTGTCTCATGTATTCTAGCTATGACTTAATCTATAGCGTCATCTTGACGGGGACCGAAGTGATTACTATAGCTATAATTATGTCTGGAGCTAAACCTGCACCCCATTATTTTTTTTGAGTAAGGTCAGGTAGTGGCGGTTATTTTTGATACTATTTGCTCCGTACGCTAAATACACATTAGCTAAAATACCTCACCTTGTTATACCCTGAGTCATCACCCATATACATCAAAAACTCTTGGAAATATAAAATATGCAAAAAACCCTATAAACATAAGGATTCTCATTGGTTTTTTATATTCAAGTCTAGTAAACGTTATGAGTCGGCTCATTACATCACAAGAGGCTTTTGGGGATGAAAACCGTCCTGTAACAGTGGTTGGAGCTGGAATACTTGGACGGCGCATTGGTAGGTTATGTCGTCTGCGTAACTTTCAATTTCCTTCGTATATATTCTCTTTAGCGTAGTAGCACATCTGACAGACTTAGCCGCATGCTGGGCAGCAAATGGTTACACAGTCCACCTATATGACACAGATTCGAACCAACGCATTGAGGCTACGAAATACTTCCATGAAAAGAAGTCAATATATCACTTAGAAACGGCAAAACCCCCGGCTCAGATAATCCCGTTTGCAGATCTTCAAAGTGCCGTTTCCAACGCCTGGCACATAATCGAGTGTGTTCCGGAGAACTTACAACTCAAACAGGATATTTTTACGCAACTTGAAGAATTGTGTGCACAAGACAGTATACTATCAACAAACTCTTCGTCGTATAGGTCATCTTGGGTGTCGCAGAAGATGACTCCTTCGGCAAAGAGACGCACACTCAATACGCACTACTTCATGCCTCCTCATGTGCGTGTTGTTGAGCTCATGACGAGTGGAAATACAGCCCCAGAAATCATGTCTTTGCTTGTTGATCGCATGAAAACAGTTGGGCTAAAGCCTTTTGTGGCAAAGAGGGAATCGACCGGATTTATTCAGAACAGAGTATGGGCTTCAATCAAACGTGAAATGCTACATGTAGTGGCAGAAGGAATTGTCGACGCACAAACCGCTGATGACATTTTCGTTGAGACAATAGTGCGACCGGGCACTCGACCATTCGCAGCTATGGATTGTGAGTTAATTATTTTGTAATAACGATCCCATTGATAAATAACTTATAAGCAGATGTTGGCCTCGACACGGTAGCGAACATCGAGCGCACATACGCACAAGAACGTCATTTAGACACAACATACACTGTTGACTACCTGCAAAGGGAATTCATCGACGTGGGTAAACTAGGGATTAAGAGCAACAAAGGTGGTTTCTATCCACCCTCTACAGCAGCAGATGCCGTGTCCACGAAGCCTAGAATATTTGTATTAGACAATGGCTTATCAGGTCAAATCGACAATTTGAAGCAAGGCAAGATACTCGAGTATTCATTTGAAGGCGAATATATTCGAACAGTATTTAAGGACCAGTACCTACCAGATGGTATTGCGGTGTCTCAAGAAGAAAACGTCCTGTTCTGGACATGTATGGGTTCCCCAGGACAAAAAGACGGCATGATATATGCTGGAAAACTGGATGGTAATGATATTCGACCACTTATCCAACAAGGAATCGTTCATACGCCAAAGCAAATAGTCATCGACGAAGCAAACAAGAAACTCTACTTCACAGATCGCGAGGGTCTTTGTATCTGGCGCTGCGACAAAGATGGAAGCAACCTTGAACAGGTCGTCGTGACGGGGGACAACAACAACGAATGCGATCGACGCGATGCTACTAGATGGTGTGTTGGCATCACTTTTTCACACACCCTAGGGAAAATCTTTTGGACGCAAAAAGGAGCATCAAAAGGCTGGCAGGGTCGTATTTTCAGTGCAAATATGACCATACCGCCCGGCGAAACAGCCGCTCATAGGAAGGACAAGGTCTGTCTTCTTGAAGGGCTTGCTGAACCAATTGATCTGGATTTTCACGAATCGACCAAAACCCTGTACTGGACCGACAGGGGAGAAATGCCCTTCGGCAACACTCTCAATCGATTGCGGTTTGATGATCGTGGATATGCTCTACACACTGATAGCACACCGCACCTCAAACACGAGATCATCGCTAGGAAGTTCCACGAGGCAATTGGGCTCAAGATTGATGCGCGAAACGAACACGTCTATGTAGCAGATCTGGGTGGTTCAATCTGTAGGTGCAAGCTTGACGGCAGCGATAAAGTAAGATTGGTTTTCCAGGAAGATAGAGCATGGACTGGTGTTGCTTTAGCTTGATTATTAATGTTTATAATTTTGGTTTCCTCTAATTAACATGTAAGCCAAGAAGTACCATGTGTTATAGGCTGGGCTATTAAAGACAAATTCTAAGAAGCTTAGAGTTGTGTTACAAGTAACAAGAAGGATTCTCTCCTTAACTAATAACGAGACGGCTAAAGGCCAAGGGACGTCCACGTCAAAAGGTAATGGATCATCACGGGGCTCGAGGTCACGTAATACGCCATCTCG